GATGGGTGGGAGGGGTAGGATACCAGATGTTGACGCGAGCGCACCTAACTTGTCAACCTCCCCCTCCCCCTCCCCCTCCCCCTCCTCCTCCTCCTCCTCCTCCTCCAAAGAACTCCCACTGGTGGCCCTTGCACTCTCGGCGGGTCGCCACATCCCCGCCAAGGAAACGAAGGGAAACCACGGGCCGCTCCTCTCCCGTGCCGCGCGGGCCGCTCTTGCGGCCCTGCTGCAGTGAGGGCTCTGGCTGCGGAGCCACTGGGCAAGGAATCCAGGGTCTGGAAGCCCGTGGAACTCCAATCGTGGATTGGCCGTGGATGTCACCGCCGCCCTCACCTGATGAGGGATCCTCCAGGGTCTGAAGCTTCCTGGGCATAGTTCTTAACCAACGCCCCCACCGTACCGAGGCCGCAATCGGAGCGGCCCACCCCTCGCGCAGCACCCACCCCCTCTCAGGAAGCCTCGAGCTACAGCCCCGGTTGGCACGTTGGCATACCGCGCATCGCGCCAGCAGCCAGAATGCCCCACCCATCGTGCACTTCACCCCTTCGGGAGACCCCGCCTGTCCTCCAGCCTTGTCGCAACTGCCCTCGTTGCCATTGCAGTCCATCGACGCCGGTGCCATCATGTTCGTTATGTCCATCGTCGCCGCGTGAGGCCTCTTGATCATGAGAAAAATATTTCCTGGCGGTCTTGCCTCGTCCCTGGGCGCGCGTGACCGGTGTGGGCCTGCTTCTGCTCGACAAGGGGGTCCCGGGTGGGGGGTCCCGCGCGGGGGGTTCTCGGCGGGAGGTCCCGGGCGCGGGTTCCTGGGCGAGGGGTCCCGGGCGAGAGGTCCCAAGCGCCGCCGCACCTCCACTCTTGATCCGCAAGTGCGGGGTGCGGCGCGGCAGTGCAAGAAGTCACCGGGGTTGTCTTCGCCCCCGTCATGGTCGTCATCGTAGTCGTCCATCACGCCCGCGGACGTTGCTCTCTTGCACACTGCACGCCCTCAGCCACAAGGAAGGGCTGGGGAGCTTCGTAAGGATAACTGCATGCTTGTGAGAAGTCTGAGTGTGGTAACATGCTTAATCAAATCCCAAACTTCTGGGCCCTCACGGGGCATGTGGCTAGCACAGCATTCAAAACGCCCACGCGCACCGAAACGCCTTAATGCCTGGCTGAACGTTACGTTGGAATCACTTTGTTGTGGCATGTGGCAAACCACGCTGGGCTCTATCCCCAAATCAGCCCCAGTTTCGGACGCGCCGCTTTTTTTCGAAAACGCGCCTTGTTGAGTCCGCCTGAAACTCGGGAGCCGTCTTGGGGACATCTTGAGAGCCTCCTGGGCTGTGTTGGTTGGGCCTTCTTGCCCCTGATTGGTCCGCCTTGGGACCCTGTGGGGGACTTTGGTGGCTTCTTAGGCTGTTTTGGGGGCAGCATGACAGCCGCCTTAGGCCGTCAGGGAGCCGTTCCAGGGTGTATTGCTTGGCGTGTTCTGGGGCAGTCTTCGGCTACAGTGTGAATGCGAAAGGTTAGCGGGGGCCGTTAAGCGTCTTCGGTAAACATTCATCTCGCATGCAAGTCCTACATACAAGGTATCTTCAAAATTAGACAAGCTCAGTCTTGCAAGGCGATCAGCCCGTCCGAAGATGAGTGCGAGACGCTCCTAGTCAAGTCCAAGGGATGAACCCTCAGGACTCCTCGTGCGAAGCAAGCGCGCACCGTAGCATCGCAGCACTTACTCATCTTCTGGCAGCTGGGAAAGAGGGAGGAGAGAGAGAGAGAGGAAGAGGGAGAGGGAGAGGGATAACGAACAAGAGAGAGATGGAGAGAGAGAGAGAGAACACACAAAAAACACGAGGGGGGCAGAGAGAGAGAGAAGGATAGAGAACGAGAGTTAACGAGAGAGAGAGAGAGAGAGAGCGCTCAGAAAAGGGGTGCACGCCCCTGCGAGCTGCAGACGCTGCCAGGCCACCCTCAGACCTGGCCGTGCAGCGCGCAGGCCGCGGCCGCGGCGAGGAGCGGCAGCAGGGAGAGCCGGCACGACCTCGCGCGCACCCCCCCCCCCCTTGGCGGGGTCCGAGGTGGGCCTCCGCTCGGCCCGGGCGCCGGGATCCGAGCGTGGGAGGGGAGAGCGGCTCCGGGATCGAGGACTCGAGGGAGGGAGGGGAGCGGCTGCCGGATATGAGGGCGGCAGGACGGGAGGGGACGGGCTCCGGGAGGGAGGGTGGGAGGGCAGAGGCTTGTTTCTTACAAGCGAAAATTACAAAAATCACCCTCCCGGGGTCCGGCGGGACAGCGGGGGGAGGGGAAATCGCACCGTACTATGCGGGAGGGGGATTCGCGCCCGAGGTAACCAAAGACGATTTGGGGCCTCAAGTGCGACACTGTCGTCATTTTATTACCTTCACCGCGCTCTCCTTCTCAACGGAAAGGCTCCCATCCGTGAAACTGTCATCATTTTTCAGCTCCCGCGAGAGGCTTCTTAGAGGCCCCCAGAGGCTCCAGGAGGGCCCATGGCGGCCTCGGGAGTGCCTAGGAGATCTCCGGAGGGCCCCAGGAGGACCCACTCTGCACCGCGCCCCCATTCTCAACGGAAAGGCCCCCATGCGTGAAATTGTTTTCATCATTCCGCCCCCGCGAGAGGGTTCTGAGAGGGCCCACGGAGGCTCCAGGAGGGCCCATGGCGGCCCCGGGAGGGCCCACGAAATCTCAAGAGCCCCCCGGAGGACCCATTTTGAATTACACTCAGGGGGCTCCAGAAGGCCCAGGAGGCTCCAAGAGGCCCCAAGAGGCCCCGAAGAGCCCAAACAGGCCACAGGACCCCCAGCACGCTCTAGGAGAGCCAAGGCGACACCAAGAGGCTCCAGGACGGGCGTCATTCCCTCTCCTCCTCCTGCTCGTCGTCGTCATCCTTCTCCTCATCCGTCCTGCTTCAAATCCTTCCTCCCCCTCTTCCTCCTCCTTCTCCTCCTCTTTCTCCTCCTCCTCCGCCTCCTCCTCTTCCTCCTCCTCCTCCTCCTCCTCCTACCTCATCCGTAGCCTCGATGGCTCCGATAGCGCCGTGCGCGAGATCCGCCTCCTCCCCATCTGTCCTCCTCCCTCCTCCCTCCTCCTTCCCTCCTCCCTCCTCCCTCCTCCCCTCTCTCGGGAGCGTCACAAAGAAGCCCTCCGAGGATAATTTCACGACAACAAGGGCGCCGACACGATGAACAGACACCACGTCGGGGCTCTGGGAACGGAGTCGAAGACGAAACATCGAATAACTTAGTCTTTGATGTTCGGGGCATTTTTCTGACCACCTGCGAGCCTTGTGGAAACTTCCGAGAGCCTCAGGGGTGGACGTCTGGCGCAAGAACACGAGTTGAGGAGGAGACAACACGGCGCTCCAAGGAGTACACTGCACCCAATTGGTTTCTACCCCCTGTGAGGGGCGTTACAGGGTAGTAGTAGTAGTAGTAGTAGTAGTAGTAGTAGTAGTAGTAGTAGTAGTAGTAGTAGGTAGTAGTAGTAGTAGTAGTAGGTAGTAGTGGTAGTCGTAGTCGTAGTCGTAGTCGTAGTCGTAGTCGTAGTCGTAGTAGTAGTAGTAGTAGTAGTAGTAGTAGTAGTAGTAGTAGTAGTAGTAGTAGTAGTAGTAGTAGTAGTAGTAGTAGTAGTAGTAGTAGTAGTAGTAGTAGTAGTAGTAGTAGTAGTAGTAGTAGTAGTAGTCGAAACCAATTGTCCTAGCCAACCCAACCAACCAGCCACCCAAACAGCTCAACCGGCTCAACCAGCCCAACCAGCCACCCCGCAACCCCAGCCAACCCGCCACCCCGCCAACCCGCCCACCCCCGCCTCCTGCCCTCCGTCACCGTCGAGAGGAGGGGGGGAGTGTTTCTTACAAGCGAAAACCAAAAATCACCCTCCCGGGGTCCGGCGGGACAGCGGGGGGAGGGAAAATCGCACCGTACTATGCGGGAGGGGGATTCGCGCCCGAGGTGCCCAAGGACGATTTTGGGCCTCAAATGCGATACTGTCGTCACTTTATTACCTTTCACCGCGCTCCCCTTCTCAACGGAAAGGCTCCCATCCGTGAAACTGTCGTCATTTTTCAGCCCCCGCGACAAGCTTCTTAGAGGCCCCCAGAGGCTCCCGGAGGGCCCATGGCGGCCTTGGGAGTGCCTAGGAGATCTCCGGAGGGCCCCAGGAGGACCCACTCTGCACCGCGCCCCCCTTCTCAACGGAAAGGCCCTCATGCGTGAAATTGTTTGCATCATTACGCCCCCGAGAGTTCTCAGAGGGCCCATGGCGGCCCCGGGAGAGCCCACGAGATCTCAATATCTCCCCGGAGGACCCACTTTGAATTACACCCAGGGAGCTCCAGAGGGCTCAGGAGGCTCCAAGAGGCCCCAAGAGGCCCCGAAGAGCCCAAACAGGCCACAGGACCCCCAGCACGCTCGAGGAGAGCCAAGGCGACACCAAGAGGCTCCAGGACGGGCGTCGTTCCCTCTCCTCCTCCTGCTCGTCGTCGTCATCCTTCTCCTCATCCGTCCTGCTTCAAGTCCTTCCTCCCCCTCTTCCTCCTCCTTCTCCTCCTCTTTCTCCTCCTCCTCCGCCTCCTCTTCTTCTTCCTCCTCCTCCTCCTCTTCCTCCTCCTCCTCCTACCTCATCCGTAGCCTCGATGGCTCCGACAGCACCGTGCGCGAGATCCGCCTCCTCCCCATCCGTCCTCCTCCCTCCTCCCTCCTCCTTCCCTCCTCCCTCCTCCCTCCTCCCCTCTCTCGGGAGCGTCACAAAGAGGCCCTCCGAGGATAATTTCACGACAACAAGAGCGCCGACACGATGAACAGACACCACGTCGGGGGTCTGGGAACGGAGTCGAAGACGAAACCTCGAATAACTTTGTCTTCGGTGTTCGGGGAATTTTTCTGACCACCTGCGAGCCTTGTGGAAATTTCCGAGAGCCTC